AGCTTTCCCACCAGCAATGAAGAAAAAAATCCTCTTGAAAACTAAAGACAAAACCTCTTAAAAAGCCCTGAATGTTTCGTGCTATCAGAGTTCTTGAGAAATTCTCCTTTTGTGTTGATGTATGGTCATGTGTGAATTGTGCATCTGAACATCTTCCCCTATGAGTAAAGATGAATTTTTGCACTTGCCCAGAGAACCCTTCTCATTTTCCCAGCTGTTTGCGCTGCCTTTGCGGGAGCACAGGAGGGCAGGAGGGGAGGTGGGGAGGAAGCTCTGAATTGCCCCAGGCAGACATCACTGGCCAAAGAAGGGGCTTCAGCTGCTCCTGCCGCTGCTTTTTGTATTGCTTCAGAGGGTCCACCCATCATGGTAACCCACAAAACAAAAAGACTGTCCCCCCCCTTCTACATCCCAGACATACTAGATGAAGAACTAGTAAGCAGAAAACAAGAAATGGGTTTCCCAATCCACACTGCGTAGCCAACCAGTCGGGTAAGGCTGTCCATGGGCTAGGAAACATAAAAAGTCATGCAAAGAAGTTGACTTTCTTACTGTGCACATACAACCTGCAACTGCAGGACTAGAGCCTACTTCCATACAGTCCAAAGCTTTGGGCTGCTCAGGAGTTTTTAAGAACGTATTTGAAATCCGCAACCTTATGACTGTGGCACAAAATCAGGTGTTGGAAGCAGAAGTACTGGGACCAGAGTAGACAAAATAGTTAATCCAAGGGGAACACAATATATATACTAAAATAAGGTGGTTAACTATGGGGTGTGGGTCACTCTCAAGGTTTAAGTTATACAGTTGAATTTACACTTGGTCTGGGGGGTTATTTTAGAAGCTATCAATATTTTTCAGGGGATTTTTCTTCCCCTATTAGCACAATAAAAAACAGTCACAACAAGTGGGTGGTCTTACAGTTTGATACCAAGAAGCTCTGCTAAGGTGCCAGCACTTCTGTACAAAGGGCCTTAATTCACTGCAAGGTGCAAGAGCCCGGCAGGAAGCGAGTAACGAATTCCTGCGACAGAACTGCCCATGCAGCCGCCCACACACCGCCCTCCTGAAAAGAAAGCAGCAGCTCTGTTACTCAAGATTCGGTAAAGGGAGCACAACAAAATGAAGAGAAACTGTAATAAGACAAACATCAAAGATTGTTTCTTTTTAATTACCCTCCCTCAGTATCTTCACTCATCAGCTGGAACTCCCTATTGCTTTTTTAAAGTAAATAAAACAGCGAGGTTTTAATACTGACTCACCTCATATGTGACTAAGTGCTGAAACTGGCCATAAATTGTCCATTTTGTGACGTTCTGAATAGCCTCATTTATTCTGGACAGCACACATCTGGTTTTGTGTGCGCGCACAAGCACGTGCACACTTGCACAAACACAACCCTCGCTGCCTGCCACAGGGACGGCCAGGGACGGGGACGGCCAGTGTACAATTTCAGCCCCATATTGAGTTTTGGCTGGTGTTGAGGTCCCTGAGGCTGAAGAGAAATAAAGCTCTCGGAGGAGAAATGGCATGTAAACATGGCTCTTATGTTCGCCTGCATGGAAAAAGTTCCCTTCAGACATGGCTGGTGAATGAATCATGAGAAAGGGCCTGCTAGTGTGCAGGTTTGGAGCAAGCCTGCTTGCAACAAGGTGGAAGGAAATACTGAAAAACGCATCTGTACTTTCTCCTGTCTGAGCAAACAGAGCCAGTTTGCTACCAGCCTGAGAAATCAGCAAGAGGAGAGCACAGCCAGCCAGGGGAACACAGGCTGCTGAGCCACAGGATGCCATTTCAGACCCTTAGCCCATGTTGTAGACATGAAAGAAATCTCATTTCACACATACCATATGAACCTGACATAAGACGAAATGAAGGAAAGATCTAACCAGCCCATCTAGCTTCTTTCCTTCCTCTCATAAAACTCACATGTAAGTAATACTTTCATCATGGTTACTGCAACTGCTTTAGATGTAACATTCAATAAGTATGCTATTTTAATCAGCCATTTATCTCATTGTGGGTGTGCTTAGTGAGGCTGGCTCTTGCTCATGGATGCTGTCTCATGTGTGGGGGTGAGAGATGGCAAGTGGAATGGAATGGTTGGGAGTTATTTAATGGAAGTGTTTTAATGAAACAAAAGATATTTAAATACGTGGTTTGTTTCACTGCAAATTTTTGGCAGTAGATGGGGCCCTAACTGTAATAAAATTCCATCGAGTTGGGAAGCCTTCTGGAGATGGTGCCCAGACGCAGTATATTGGCGCTGACTCCTGGAAGATCAGCTCTGACTTGACTCAGGCACTTTGTTGTTTCTATGTAACTGCCCAGAATGAGAAAAAAAAGGGGGGAAAGGGAGGGGGGAACCAACGTGCATACACCTCCGTACCCCTATCTTTTCACTCCACTCTGTCCTAATGCTTTCTTTTTCTGTCTGTCTTTCCAAAAAGCTGCAAACTCACATCTTCAGTTTGCCCAGGCTCCCTGACTCTGCTCAGGACCGCGGGTGTGAGCAGGAAGGGAAACGCAGCCCTGAAACAGGATGGGGACAGGACCAGACCCTCGCCTTCTGCCGCGACGCTGTGGATTTAGCGTTTCGTTCATGCAAATGCACATTTCCTGGCAGTGCTGGGGCTGGCCTGGAAGCCAGACCTGGTCTGCTTGAGGTAGAGCCATTATCCTAAAGTGCTTTTATTGATCTGTTGACTTTCTGTCTCCCTCCTTCTCTTCCTCTCGTCACCCTGCCAGCCTCCTAAAGACTCGTATCTTGTCTCATACAACCAAGGTATTTTAAGGAGCGAACAATGATTTCGAAGTCAGATTAGACAAACTGTACTTGACCAGTGAAACCAGATATCCCCTGAATGACGTCTGAGGAAGGATCTGTCTACATTTACAAACAGTCCCTCTTTCTCTTCCATTTTTTTTTTTTTTTCCCCTCTATGTATGTCCTGGTGATCTTGAAAAATTGGGACAATATCAGCAATTAATTTCAAGGCCAAATACATCTTTTTTTTATAGCAGCCTATTCCTCAGAGTGGCAAAGCCATATTGTCATGTTTTATTTTTGGTAGGTTAAAGAGAGCTGTAGTAGGAAATCTATATATGTGCTGTGATATCCAGCAGTATTAAAGGGTGAGAATTAAAGGGAGTCCTGAAAGACTTAGTCGTTGGTGCCTATAGAAAGCCAAAAAGATCTGCGTGCCTTCCTGGAAATTTCAGACGAAACGTGTTAGAGTGCAGTATATTACAGTGACCTGACCTACAAATCCATTTGAGCTGGGGATAAAGGGAGAAAGAATAATACTGAAGAAAATGTTTACAATCCTGTGTGTTAACAAATAATAAGACAGGGGTTTCAAGTTGGTTGATTTATTTTGGTTTGTTATTTCAGTGTTCACAGTTTCTCAGGTTTCTGGAAAATTGCATTTCCTTCCTAATAACATTGCTCATTAACTAATTGGTTAACGCATGGGCATTTAGTTAATGGTCTGAAACATATATAGGTAGATACAGAACAGATAAAAAAGGCTAAATTTGGTTATAAGAGTGTGTTTATCCAAACTCCAGGGTCTTTCATAAACCTGAATACATCACTATTCATGGATGGAGTATTTGACAAAGAAATTACCAGTAGTTTATAGTCAAAAAACATAAATATGCATAAATACTTTATCAGGGAATAGCTCTCTAATTTTTAAATGTGGAAACAATATAAATAAAACCATATTTGAGTGAAAACCAGAAATTCACATTGACCTCACTTTCATTAGCCTGGATAGTACTTTATCCTGTACGGAGCGCCAGTGAAAATAGTCTGAGTGTTTTCACTGGAAAATATTAATGAGATTAAGGAGAAAAACTTCTGTAGTCACATTTATTCCTTAACCAGTTTATTCATATCACCATTAGTTTTCTTTTTCTGGAAATTCTTGGGAAAAAAGAGAAATTAATCGCAGTAGTAAGGAAAATAGTTGCCTGTGCACTCCTGAAACCCTCCTTTCAAGTATATTCTATCACCTTTGCAAGCCAGGACCAGTAACAGCTCTGTGACTTACATGAGCAGTTGTGCGGTGCAGGCCCTGGATCACAACTGGCACCTCGGTCAGTAATCAGTGTGAAGAGTTAATGAGCAATCTGCTGGCTGAAATATGTTAATGAAAAGCATTTATCTAAGAAATTTGAATATAGTCAAATATGGAAATAAAGAATCACAGTCTATTTCTGTATTGGTGGGGAAATGAAAAAAATTCTGTCGATGTGTGTCTCGGACTGTGGGATGCCCTGTTATGAACTGAAGACAATGGACCTTGGTTGATTTGGGGCTTCATGTAATGAAAAGCAGTTAACAGTTCAGTGCATTGCAGATGATTTAGCTAATTCTAATACTATGTCAGTAACAGTAAACTTTCTTTTTGAAATCACAGAGAGGGAGAAGGGGATGGGAGTCCCAGGGAAAGAGAATCTTGAAAGATCGAGGCTTGGCAAACACCCCTTAGTCATTTACTTTCTTGGAGAAACTACAGCAGGACCACAGCTACAGCTTGACGTGTGCTGAACTGCACTGCTTGGGAGTAAACCACATAAGCTTCATGTCATGGAATGAGCTAGTAGATAAGAGCCAGAATCGTCTTTCCTTCCAGACAATAGTTCACATTGATGCTGCTGATGAAAAAAAAACATAATTCAGTGTATTCTAAGCTAGTCCCAAATTTGCATTTCTTTGTCAAAACCTGTGCTTACAGATTCTGAGACAATACGTTTGGCCAGTTCTATAGAAGTCTTGATCAGAGCACCAGCTCAACTGGTGAGATGCTCTTAACTTCTGCTATAAGTAGACTGAAAACTTTCTGTGTTTTGAAAACCTAATTGCTAAGTGAAACTACCTGAGTAAACAGGTTTCAGGGCCAGAAAAGGTTCATAATCATGCTTGTCAGGTAAGAGATCTTACAAAGATAATGCTGATGTTAATTCTAACGAGTAAATATGTCTTTATACAGAGCAAGGTGAATTTGTGGACTTCCTTCCTTCAAGATGCTATCAGGACAAGCCGTGAAGTTGGATGTCTGAAACAGATTGAGATGATTTTTTAAACATTGGTACACAAGTAAGCGCTGTAAGTAATTTGCAAGCTAAGGAAAGTGAGCCAAAAATCACATTTTGAGACATAAAAGATGCCTGAGCAGAATTATGTAAAACTCTGTCTCCTCAGACAGCAATGCTGAATATTGACAAGTGCATTTCATGTTGTGGCACCGCCGAGCGTGAGCCAACGCGGAGGCAGGAGATCGGGGAGCTGAGCTGATCCGCTGTGGGAATTCCTGTATCGACAGCAGTACTCTCGTTGTAGTCTTTAGGGCTTTACATAAAAGAAGTTTCCTACATATTAGAATGCAGCGTTTGGTATTTTCAATTACACAGGATTAAAGGCAGTCCCAGTGAAAAGGATTATGAACTGGGATCTGCCTGGCTATTTTCAGTGAGTATCTGCCAGCCAGGTGAGCCAGACAGCTATATGCCTGGTCTGTGGAACATAAGATAAAATAGGAGGAAGAAGGAAAGGAAATATTCTCTGGTAATCTGGGGGGAAGAGAGAGGCAGAAGGAGCCCCACGCACCTTCCATCTCACACTGAATCTGATTGCCAGTGGAGCAGTTGTGAGCTGCTAGGTGCGAATCCCACAAGAGCCCGCTGTAATTAAGCATCCTGTAAGGTGAGGAGGGGTGTGAGCGCTGTGATAAGCTCATCAGCAACGTCTGCATCAACTCCCCACCCCCCTCAGATACCCTTCGGAAATCTTCAGTGTGTTTTGTGTTTATTTCAGGGCCAGGAACAAATGCTGGCAAGTGCAAAGGTGTTAGATGTTGGCCAACCTATCCCAACATGCCCTACCAAGGCACTGGAGGGAATATTACTCTAAGTGGATGATGAGCTCAGTTCAGAGGCTGTTAAATTAAAGCTTATTACCCTCCTTAAGAGATGTGTGTAATGTGGTTTCGGGCTTCTGATATGGGAAAATCAACACTTTCCAAGTGTTTTGTTGTCCTCTCTCTTATGCTTGGAGGGGAATTCAGTTTCTGTTTTGCACTGGGTCAAATTCAGCCTGGAGATAAGATTTCTTCACAAATTTTAGAGTTTGGGATTGCCTCTATGAAGGCAGGGTCTGAGTCTGGTGCAGTGTGCTTTGCAGGACCAGGAGGGGTTTCTCTGTGAACGGAGGGAAAACAAAGAGCAGGGTACAGAGACGTTGAAGTGCTTCTGCAGGGAACAAGTCCTGTGCTGAGAGCACTGGGGCTAAACTGCAGAGCCACGCAGGTGTCCCTGCCCCGTGCTCCCCGGAGCTCTGCATGCCAGGAGATCAGGTTGTATTGCTCCCAGCAGGGTGTAAATGCAGAAAGCCGGCTCGGGTTTAGCTTTCCATGCAATTTAATAAGCCCTGCAGAACCAGGAGTGCCGGGACGGGCGGTGTAGGATCAGGAAGCAGTTTAGATTCACCAGATATTATTAGCTCCAACTCAAGACTGGCCCCGCAGGACTGGGCTGGTTTGCACAAGAAGACTTGAGTGCCTCTGCCATGTGCTCCTCATCATCTCCATTATCTGTGTTTTTCCTTTATCTGGGGTACCACAGCTCCTCTGAAGGATGGAGCATTGGCTCTCTACTCAGCTTTAATCTCTAGCTGTCTTTGGAGGGTCAGGTCAGGAGAGGTTTGAGGTCCTCAGCCCTGACGTGAAGCCCTCCCTGCTTCAGACAGGACTGCAATTGAAACCAGCTGATCCCAAGTCCCTTGCAAACATTTCCATTTCAAACCACTGAAGTTTTATGTCTTCCTAATAAATTTTTTTCTTAAGCCTCATAAATCTCATAAAGATCTGGAACAGCTAGTAAATTTGGCCATTCAGATACACGTTTTCCAGTAAAGAGGATAATGATTGCTGTTTCTGATGCCACCACCCCTTCCCACCCCCTTAGCTCTAGGAGTTCACCTCTTGCTGGCTGACTGCTGCTTGCACGCAAATTGGGCTGTGCAAAGAAAAGAAACACATACAGGTCCCATTTGCCTGAAGATTTGAGGAGTTGCTGGGCCTCTGCTGGCTTTACTACTGCCCCTGTATGTGACAGGAGCAAAATCATTTGTCATCTTCACATCTCAGATCGGAGAAAATAGGTTGATGCTTGCCTGCTCAGGGGGGTTAGGAATCTTGCTCAATTCAGGCTGGACAGCATGCACTCGCAATGGGAAGCTACAAAACTCCAGGATAGGGATCTCCCTCCCAATGTCCCCACAAAACGTAGAAGGTGAGAGGTCTGCACTGTCAGCAGGGCCACAGCCTCAGTGCCTCCTCCTCCCTGCCCTCTGTTCAAGATTGCTCGTGGCAATGCCCACGAGGGCTGCAGGGCTGTGGTTGTCTCTAGTCCTTGGGATAATCCAGAGAGGAAGCTTTCTGCATCCTCCCCCAGTGTACCTGTGGCAAGTCCATCCAAGTCTCTTAGGCTTGTATTTCCAGGTAGGCTTGAAAGAACATGAACCCAAGGACAATATAAACCCAAGACTCCTCACACTTTCATTGGAAATACCAGACAAAAGTGCTGAAGATATTTAGAAAAACATACTATAGAAATAGAAAATTGCAAACATATTTTCCCCTTTATTTGTTGTCTCCCAAATCCAAACAAGCTTATTTCCTTTCCTGCAATGCTGCTTTTGATAATCTTGTGCCAAAGGCACTGAATCTGTTCTTATTGCTGTCAATAGCAAGATGCCTGTTGCTTTTAATGGCTCAGCTATTAAAACATCACATCCCAGTTGTCTGGCTGTGAGCAATCCCAAGATATTGCAGTGACAATATGGAACCTTTTTCCTCTGAATGTTTCTCTGCAAAGTTTGACCATTTTGGCTGGGGTAAAACATGTGTCTATCTGGGATTCTTTCCAAGGATGAGATTTTGACAGCTGTGCTCATGTTGGCAAAAATCCTGACATCTTGTGCTTCGTTGAAATAGCAGATTCTTAGTGGAGAGGGGTGGGAATCCGATTTCATAGATGAACACTTATGAATTGAAGACTGTGAGCCTGGCTTAGCTCTTTTCACTTGGGGGAAGAGGTTGAACCCATCCTCTGGGAACAGGGTGGAGCTTTTCTTTCTTCCCATCCCCACCTGTGGGTGCAGATGGCTGATGGGCAGCGGGGCTGACGGGGGCCCTGTGTGCCTCTGCCAACTTCGTGCGGCAGTTTGGGACATGCCTTGGACTGCGCCCATGAAAGTGGGTGTCAGCCTGGTTGGAGTACATGCCTAACGATTTTCATTTACATATTGGATGTTTAGACATGAATGGTGGGTGGCGTTAGCGCACTTTCAATGAAAATCCACCTTTGCAGCCATGATCAAAGCTTGGCCTATTATTCATGCCAGATAGCTTGTGGAAAAACAAAGCCTTGGTATAGTCTGAAATACCCTGTTTTGGGGTTTTTATTGTTACCATTATGATTATGATGATTGACTGTTTTTTTGTTTGTTTTTTGCTGGAATCTCCATCTTGAACTGGAGAACTATTTCCCACAAAAGCTATAATTATTCAAAGCTGATACATTTCTGCAGTAACCTTCAATCTGATGAACTGTCATTTTTCTGATGAAAAATCACTTATTTGGAGACTAGTATTCCTATTATCTCGACAAACAGGGAATGGTGGCACAGAAAATTGTGTCACAAGGTCACCCAGGAGCTCCACATCAGAGCCAAGGATAAACTGTAACAGTTCTGGTGGAAGGTCATTGAAAACTTTTTGGAAGGTATTTTGCAAATATTGTATTTATTTCAAACTTTCCAGTGGCCAGATAGTTCCTTTATATTTTACCAAGAAAAATAAAAGAACCACAAGGTTTTAAAACCATGTCAACAATAATTTTCCATTTCTGGTATTTTACTGAAAAACAAGGAAAAATATTTTTTAAAACACAAACAAGATAGTAGTCAAACAACAAACCCTCAAACAAAGCATACCTCCAGATGAAAACAATTCGAACAGTTTTGCTCAGGAAAGATTGTAGCTTAGGGTTAGACACACAAAATCAGACATTCATGGTTTGTGTCCATGGCGATGTAAGGTCTTTTATGTTACTTTAACTGTCAAGGAAAAACAGCTAAACTGGCTCAAATTCATACTTGCTGTGCATTAAGTGACGTATACAGACATTTAAGGCACATCAGCAAGCACTTGCATAGCCTTTTCATGTGTTTAAACCCTCAAGCTTATTTTAAGGATTTGGGAGGCTGTAGGTCTCTGTTATATGATAGATCAATCAGATTTTAAATGGTTAAATTCAGGACGGTCCCAGAACAAAAAATCATGCATGCGTGGGGTGGCTGCACACTGTGCTGTGATTGAAGTCAGGCATGCAGGCAAGCTAGAGGTGAGCTCTGAGCATATATTATTTATCCGCACATAGCCCAACCATGTCAGCTGAGTGGCCAGAAAAGTGTCCAGTAACTACAAAATTATATGGGAAAAACTGTACCCTGTATACTTTGCTTCTAGGAGATGGGGTTGAAGAGTATAATAAAGGACACTCTGTATTACGTGGGACGTTTGGTGAGTGTGGCACTGACCGATGGCCTTAGAGGCCCTTTCAAAGTAACGCCTTAATGACAGGCTCTCCCGTCCTCTCCCACTCATTTCTTGAAAACTAGGGCAAATATTAGCACAACTGTGAGCATTGGGCTGCTGTGTTTAGAGTGCTTCTAGCACCCGTGTTAGCTTGATTAAAGCTAACATGATCATTTGTACACTGAGAAATGCCAGTGGCATGTCTTCCATAAATTAAATTGAAATTCCAACTTTAAGTTGTCTTATAGTACTGCAGCAGATCTGTTTACCCTGGAATAGCATAAGGCAGATGTCTTCATCTTTGCTGATTCTTAACAGGTCGCAGGCGTTGACTTTAAATAACTAAAAGCCTTTAAAATAATTTTAAAACATGCTTTCCCCTCCTCTACAGACCTTAACCTTTAGTTGGCCTTAACCAGAAAGACCCAGGATAATGTGATTCTAAAACAGACCATCATAAACCTAGCAGCAACTTTAAACATATAGTGTGATCATTACCTGAAACCAGTGGAGAGGTTGGAATAATTATTGCTCATGTTTACACTTCTGTATCTCAGTGGGTTATGTTCAATCCCTTAATGACGATGATTAAAAACATACTGGAAACGCGTAGTAATTAGAGAGAGCACTTACCGTGATTCTGAAAGCACAGAGCTAGCTTTGAAGTGGAACTGGACACAGTGACTGCTGCCAAATGCTTGTGAGAGTTGGGAGAGCTATGCAGCAGGTCCTTGGTAATTGCACGCATGATAGCATGTCTACTTTGGCACATGCAATATCTGCCTTCAGTACCAACCTTATAATCGCATCTTGTACGTCAGTGAAACTTTTGCACATTGCAGAAGGAGGAAGTGGATGGTGGGTGATGGATCGTGTAAAATGCTCTGCTTTTTAATTTACGTAAAGCCAGAGCTGAGCTTTGGTTTGTTTCTCTGTGGGGGGGCTTTTTGGAGGGTGAGGCAATATTTAGGAAGAGGGAAGGAGGAGGAAGTTTGGGGTGGCAGCAGAGAGCAGGCACTGGTTCCAGAGCTTTGCCCTGCCAAGGTTTCAGTGTGGGTTCTGACACGAAAGGGAGTTGTCAAGCAGTGAGCTGTAAACCTCATGTTTTAGGAGTGTTTTGGTGGATGAGGGATAGAGGCATGTATTGCAGAATGTATTCTTTTGTTTGTTTTTCCCATTTAAACAAACAAAAATACTCTTATTACAAGAAGACAAGGAGGGAGGAGCGATGAGGCTTGTGTTGTAAAATCATGTTTGCTGGAAAAGTTGTCCTATTTTCCATTGCTTAATTTCAGCTGAAAAGGGAGGGCATGAAGGTTGGAGAGAATGTAGCTACTTTCTTGGAAGTATTTTTATGAGCACTAAAAACAAGCCCTCTCAGGAGGGAGCAATTTAGCAGTTTGTGAAGAAAGCAGAGGTAGAAACAGGCGCTCCCCAGCGTTCCCTGGTGTTCCTCTGAGGCTCAGAGGGACTTGGTTTTGGTCAATGTCCTTTAATTTTGTACACCATATCTGTTGGTAATTTTCTCTGCAAACCCAAATTCAGCTTCTGTCCCCATGCTGATGCCATGGAGACCTACCTGCTTACACCACGTGTCTCCCATTTCAGTGACGTTCCTGTCCCCATGATGTTCCCTTGCAGGTCACCAGCTAGCAGCTAATACTCAACACACCTAAAACAAGGCTCTTCCAGATAGATCTGCTCTTTCTTAAGCACCATGAACAATCTTACAATCCCGCCTCTCACTCGGACTCATGGATGTTATCTTTGACTCTGATGTCTCTCTTGGTTCGTGCCTCCAGGCGGTGTCGAACTCCTGCCACTTGTTTCTGCATAGCCTCTCTAAAATGCTGCTGTTTTTGTCCTCACTTATGGCTCACATGCTTGCTCAGGCTGTCATTATCATGCTCCTTAATCACTATTACAACATAGCTAATTCTGGCTTTGGCAAATCCTATCTCACCCTGTTCACAAGTGTTCTTTATGCTGCAAAAAAAGATCATTTGCCTTTCCTGACTGTCACCCCTCTCACTGCATCTATCTTTCAGGTCTCTGCTCTTGATCATATCAAATGTAATCTGCTTGTCTTTGCTCCCAAGGTCTTTCATGGCCTTTCTCCACCCAATATAGTATTTTTCTTTTGTGGTTAAGATGTCAGTTTTGGCCTCTGATCAGCCCACTGTGCCACTCTCTGTTGCCCAGTTTTTAAAATTTGAAAGCACCTTCACATGTTTGCCTGTGCTGTGAAGGCAGCTTCATTACTCTCTTCCCAGTTTCTCTTTAAAACTCCTTTTCTAAGATGGCTATAAAACCTTCACAGCAGTGAAGTTGTTAGTGTGCTGAGTTCTGTGATGACTATGCAAACTTTGGTGGTTTCCATGGACTCCCCTTTGTCGTCTTTTGGCGTGAAGACTCTCTGGTTCAAGAACCATCTGTTTGTGCTGGCTTTGCATGGTGTCTGTCACTGTGGGTTACTGTCCCACGAAGGGAATCCACAGGTGCTATGGTAATACAAAATAATAACAGTAATTAAAAGAGCAAGCATTAATAGCACCATGTGTTGCTTGTCACTGGTCTGTTGTTACGCCTGTGTCACTGAACAAGCACTGATCCTGAAGAAAGTTGATGGGTTTTATTTGCTTCTAGAAAAATGTGGAGGAGTGGATTCCCCTCCCTACTCCATGCCTCTTGCACAGGGCCCTTTCACTGCTCCATTTTCCATTAAGTTGAACATAAAAGGCTTAAAAAGCAGGATGGTGAGTGGTGGGAGCAGCATCATGCAATTCCACTTTTGGGTCTTCTGTGCACTCTGTTCAGAAGTCATTGCTAGTTGGTAGATAGTTTGGGGAACTTGAAGAAAATGAGCTGGAGATTGTTTATGAGAAGAGACAGAGCAATGTCACTGGTCCACATCTGATTCCACTCCTTTATTCTTGCTGGGGTGTTCACTGGAGAATCCTAATGTTGTACGTGGAGTCTACAGAGCCTCTCTGGTCCTGGCCCGTGCAGGATAGGATCAAATGCATACTGACAGGGTTTTGCAGCATGTTCTGCAGCTGTATTTCAGCCCTCAGTCTCCTGAAGCTGCCAGCCATGTGAAACCAGTGTGAACAATGGGCTTAAATCCATTTTCTAAATAGAGTTTTGCCTGTGAAAAAAAATCAGATGCCAAAATGTCAGGCTGCAAACCCCAACTGCCGAGCAGTTCTTTTTCCTGTGAGAAGGAAGAACTCTGGTGAAAAACAAAAAAAATAATAATCCAACCCTGTCAGGAACAAAGGTCGCTGCCTCTGCAGCAGCCAAGTGTGTAGCCCAAGGCCAGTCAACATCTTGAGCCTTATACCGTGGCTTTGGGACCTTTTACAAAAGCTGGGCACGTTTCCAGCGCTGAGCTGTAAGAAGGACAGTTGACCCATGTTGCACCTGGGGCATCTCAGCCTTATTTCAGTTTCACATAAGGCTTTGTCTAGGTTTATTTTATTTAATGGGCTTTTTTAAATTTATTCTGGTTATACTGTCACAGGAAATTCTCACTGTTCTATTACTTTTTTCCTGTTGGAACTAGCCTTAAAATAAAATTAATAAATAAATATATACATACATTTAAAAGTATGCAGACAGGAAAGCTATTCAGATCTGGAGAGGCCTTGATAACACTGCTGATGAGGTTGCCAGCTTTCCCTGAGTCTGAGCTGAACAATTCCTCACCACCTCCCCAACCCCTGGGAACTTAAGTGGTGGTAGCTGTGAAGCTTCTAATTCTGACTACAGGTGTTTGGTTTGAAAGACACCACATGCCATGTTGTAATCTCATTTAGGAAAAAGGTAATTAAATAAAAATACAGATGTGTTACAGTCACAGTTCCTGAACATCTGAAATGCCCGGTGGTCTACAAAAAAGTAAAGAATAAATCTCTCTAAAGGAGGACTATAGTCTCGTCTTTTGTAATATTATCCAGTATTAGTATTTTAAATTAAAACAAAAGGAGAGAGTTTCAGATATCAACATCTGCTCTTAACCATCTCTTTACAGCAGGAACATTGTGTTTAAGAACAAACAAAATAGCAATGCCTAAACTCCCCTCATTCTGCTGCTCTGCATATCCAGATATTCCAGCTAGTGTTTACTTGTTGCACATTCTGCTCCATCATTTAGTGTTTAGCACAATTTTTTTAAGGTACTGCAGATTATCAGAAACATTCCTGGGGTGCACAGTAGTAGCTAGACCTGCTCAGCTTTGTCATAACAAATTGAACAGTCACTGATCTTTCTCTTTTGTATCATTAACTTGAAATGTGTGAATGCCAGTATATTCTTGATAAATTGCATAAAAACATTGTTTTAAAAAAGTTTAGCCAGCTTTAAAATGGACTGTTCTCTGTTCAGCAGTAATGATGATAGTAGTAATGATAACAATAAACTAACTACAGAATTCATCTGGTCTCAATCCAGAAAAATATTTAATCCCATGCTTAACCTTTTAAGCATGTGTGCATTCCTGTTCATCAGATTTAAGCATATGCTTTTTTGTCCTTTGCTCTACTGCTGCTTGATTCCAGCATGTGCCACTCCCGTTACGTGTTTGACATGTGCTATATTTGGTTTTAACTGGCAGAATAAACCTTTGGAATTAGAAAATGCTGAAGAATGGTTACTATATTAATTATCCAACATAATTTTCTGGGGTTGCAACAACAGCTGAGTGGTGTTAGCCTGCTTCTTTACTACATATTTTACAAGCTTGTTGGTTTCTCCTTGACACTGTTTAAACCCTTTTTCTGTAGTGCTACCTGGGGGAAGGAGATCCTCATCTGTCAGTGGAGACTATTGATCCAGGAGGAAGAGTATGAAGGTATCAAGCCTGGGAATGTTACTGTGAATCTTTCCAGTAATGCTTGAGGGTTCTCTCTAAGCCTGAGCTCTTGTAATCTTGCTATTTCTTTGAACTCTCACTTTCAGTACACAACAAATAAACCCAAGCACATTTCTTCCAGTTCTTCTTTACAGAGGGGCAAACCACCCACACATTTCTAGTCTTCGTGGTGTGGTGAGAGCTTGAAACATGATGTGGGTATGATGTTCTAGGCTCCAAAATCAAAAAGCAAATAAAAAGTCCCCTCCATTTCTTATTATTTTTTTCATGATTTTCATGGCAATTTCAAGCCTTTCTGAGACCTGACAGGTTTTGAGCACTTAGTGCTGGCAATTCCATGAGCCCCTGAAGCCTAGCTTATGGGGAATCAGATTTTTATTGGACTTTTTAGAAAATTCATCCTTCCTTGCTCTGCCAAGCATTATAGAAACACCACATGAGAGAGGGTTGGGGCTTTAAAGTCTGTACCATCTAAAACAGTTGCCAAAGCGTAGGAACTACAACTGCAACAAGTTTTGTCCTCTCGAACCCCATTTTGCAGCGTTCACGCAGGAGTAGAGCCCTTGTGGCACCCAGCCCTGTGGCTGCTTGGCTCAGTGAGGCTGCGGGTCTGAGCTTCAGGCTGCCAGGGGATTTCTCAGGGCTGCCACGGTGTCGGCACGTGCAGGGATGCCACTTGCCTGTGCGTGCAGCCGTGTGAAAGCACCAGCGAGCAGGGGGAGCACGGATTCCCAGCAGGCCCCTGAGAGCACTGACTTTCCAGTTGAACTCATTGGGTTATTATTAAATGCCTGCAGAATACATGAGGATCCTGCCATTGTCTCAACTGGTCTTTGAATCAGGGGCTCTTAAACAGAGGATATGCTATTCATCTTTTGTTCCACATTCCCATAATGCTTTTAAAAAAAGGAAAGAAAAAAAGCCAAAAACCCAAACCTGAAACGTGATGTCAGTTTTACCCTGAAAGCCAGAGGTGGAAGGGATGGTTAGCCAAGATTAAAGTCCTAGGCTTTGCAATTTCTTTATGTAAGTTATGGCTGTATGTCAGTAGCAGTAAGCAAAGCAAAATGCACTAGCTACACCGGTGTTCTGTTCAATTGCCTGGGGCCTCAACTGAAATTTAATAAGCAAATGTAAGATTTTAGTGCTTTGGAATGGAAACTTTATGGTAACTTCTTTCTGCAGCCCCTTTTAAAGTGATGTATCACATGTATGGTTTGTGCAGTTCACCTTGGATACTGAATTGTGCTGTCAGTCCTACCCTTCCTCTCTGAAAAGGCCAGCATCAACATGGTACCATGCCTGGTTGCTGCAGCGAGGTGGCAGATCGGACTATAAAGCTGTGGCCCTTCCTCTCACAGCTTGGAGCCAGGTGAATCTTCAGGTCACAGAACAAGCTGGTGTTGCATACAGTTATAGCTGTGATGTCTTCCCTGCAGCTCCCATTCACAAGGCTTCTCATGCTAATGGCTAAGACATGTGGGGGAATTACAGTTTCTTTATTATGGTGGTTCATGGAGCCTTGTAAGTTGTTCCTCATCTCTCTCCATGCATGACAATCTAGTATTGGGGGTTGCGTTTAGAATCAGATCGTATCCGTAGCTTTTGCCAGGAGTGCACTGAGATGACAAAGGGAGCTTTACTCTTTCCCCAGCTCTGTACCACACTTTTCCATTAGTACCAGCTGGTACAGCCCATTTATCGGGGATTTTCTGCATGTTACTCAATACCTCCAACATCCATTGCTGTCTTTAGGAGATGAGGAGGCTGAGCAACTCTCAAAAAGTGCTTAGCATCTTGAATTCAGTCTGACCAGGAAACAAAAAAATCCTCTTTACCTGCACAACTGACTATTCTAAATTTATATCCTAATAGTGCATGCAGATGGTATGCAAGCGGCCAGTCAAATATGGAGACCCCTTTCTAGGGAGACACCTAAAAACCAGCTGTGATTCACATGCTCCTTGGGCACCTCTTGTATGGTTTTCCTGGGGTCAGGCCCAAGATGAGGCTGTCTCACTGTGCATATTCAGCCATGGTTACTGAGGAGAGAAATTACATATACACCGTTTCAAAAAACATGTCTCTTTATACTTAAAGTCTTTAGAGTTCAACCAGTGAAAGGTCCCCCATGATAATAAACCATCGTTCATTCCTCTTGCCTTCTCACGCGTGTGTTTATTTCTGTTTGCTCCTTTCTTTTTTGCAGATGGCAGATAAATCTTGTCAGTGCTTTTTTGGCTTTGCAGCTTTTTCTCAATCATCTTTCCTTTTGTATCTCCAGCAATGTGCAAATCTGATGGTTTTCTATTTCTGCTAAGCATATTTCTTTTCCATGCTGTCTCATTGTCTAATTCTTGTGCTTTTTTGCTGGGTGAAAGAAGAGACAAATTTCCAGTAGGCAAAAGGAAATGAACCCTTTTTAATCACTGCTATAAAATGTAATAGTTTGATGTAAGTTCCTTGTCAAGGTTGGAAGAGTGACCAGTAGGTTCTTGTAGAAGCATCTTTTGATGTGTCTGTTGGATCAATTGGAATTGTATCGCACGCAAGGAGAACAATACTGCACGAGCCCTGGAAGTGGAGCAAACACAGATGACATTTTTATTCATTCTCAGCCAGATTGCTTGGTATTGTGTCCTTTCTGTGAAAAATGACACTGGCATCAGGCCACTGACTGCAAAACAACTTGGCATGGGCCTCCTGTTTGTCTCAGCCTGAGCTGAGCATCACCAGAGATGCCAGACTGCTAGCCACAAGCTGAGAGTGTTAAAGCACTGTCTTTCTTTAATCAGCACCTCTGCCTTTTTTGTTGGAAAATACTCGAGGGAGGATAGATGGTTCCTGAGTGTTTAGATCTTTGGTGGCATCAGAAATGGCACTTTGCTTTCCCTTTGGCAAGACCATGAGCTCTCCAGCCTCAGAATGACTGGAAAGCTTGGCTCAGTCTAGCCAAACCTAAACAAATTCTTTTTTAGAGCTTCTGATTTTGTGCTTCCTATCTCCTTTTTCTTTTCTTGCATCTTAAGTGGAATTTTTGAAAGCCTTCAAGTGATTATGAAGACAAACCTAATTGACTTCCAGTGTCATCTGAACCACCATATTTGCCACAGCAGGTACTGACATAGCCAAAACCCCATGGATTTCCCTCGGACTCATCATAGAGAAACTCCACAGTTTGTCTGTGACTGGGAGCTTTCATAAGATGACTGGGTGTGCTATGGATAAGGTGACACTGAGCTGTGGGTTTTATTGTAGCTGGAGTCTTGATATGAAAACCAGGTGCAATACTGGGGCATTTCCACCATCTTCTAATAATCCATGTCATAAATCACCTTTCCGAGGACCCTGTTGGGTCTTTTTTTTTTTTTCTTCCCATGGCTTCTAAGTAAGTAGTTTAAGTGGAGAAACTGAAGGAAGTTTATCTTCTTGAAAGCACAACAGTTTAACTATTAATTTTGTAGGATGCCCAGATATTTTATTCAAGTTAAATGGTTTTTGTTCCATCCAAGTAGGAGTGTGGTAAGATACACAGCAGCCACCACTGTGCACTAGGAGACACTGGACTGAAAAACTGGATGTGAATTTCTGTTCTGCTTGCTGGAACCAGGCTCTCTCTGTGCCTACTGCTGTGGAGTGGGTATTTCCCTAACCGAATAGTTGCTTTTTCTTGAAGTAAGGACAATATCTTTGCTTTCAGCTCTGATGCAGTGTGACATGTACAGTAGGACCTGTCATAATTCATGAAGTCAGTTCTGTTTCAATGTTAATAAGTCCTTAATCAAGTCATTTGTTTCATCCAGGATGTCACATTTAGCAGTGAATTGTGAAATACTTGAAAACTGGAATCATAGGAGCATTATTTAATGCTAAGTGTTATCCGCATCATATCTGAAGCTGGAACATGCCAGGAAAACATCCTTCACATTATGCAACTAATATATCCAAGCTTTCAGGATCAATTGTGAGTTGGCTGGGTCCGTACACTATTTCTCTCTGTTTATGTGTGGCATAATAATATATGCTATATTCGGCAACTCATTCTCACATTGCTTATCTGTTACCTATTTTCTATGGCTGGTTCTTTTGCTTTATAAAATAGTATTGTGCAATGCTGGACCAATCACTTTAAACCAAGATTGGCACTTCAAGTCCAACAGAAAATAGCTGATATTTAAAACTGGTAGTCCTCATTCTAGTCTGTTTGTGATATGTAAGGAAAAAAGAGTTTTGAGCCAAGCAGCTGCTGGTGGGATTAAGTGGGAAGCTATCCAGAGAGACCAGGTTTATGATTATCATCTCCTGTTCTTGATGTTGTCTTCAAGAGGAACAGAGCTAAGGGCTAAAATTTTATCTTTAATATCTAGTTCCTGTAAGTCTTTTCCGCTTACAAAGAGAAGGAAGCCATAGTGAACTCATGACAAATATTGTCCCAATGCATTTTCCTTCTTTATTTAAATTACATTTAATGTTGTGCTATTTTTTTTCTTAAAAGCTTGTTTCTGTCTGCAAATAGGTATGTTACATACTGTTAGCAATAATAAAAACCATACCTGTATATGCGACACATGTTGCTATACAGCAGTGTTATTATGTACAAAATTTCTGCAGAATGAAACACTGAAAAGTCTTTTTTTTTTTTTTGCCATAGGGAACCGTTTGCATTTATATTGTAAATCTGTGTTGCTGTTGTGTCCTTCTTGTGAACCAGACCCCTTGTGGTAGGTACTGTGAAGACACAGAAGAAGGTCTGGTCATATCTGTGAGAAAAACATTTTAGTTTGGGGTTTTTCCCAGTTTCTGTCCTGAAATACTCAGTAAATAATGGTGTAAAAAGGGAATTGTAAAATATTTCTTCAGGTTTTATTTTGTGTTTACACAGGCTCTATCAAAATGAGTCCTTCCCAGTTCCAACCAGTTGATCAAAAATACTAAATGTTTTAAGGATCCATGTTTTCTGCAAAAATTTTGCGTTTTCCT